ATGTCATTATGACATATTTGAATGTAGAATTACAGCCATATTGATCTACCTGTACTTTTTGCTCATAAATAGGAAAATTAAATCTTAATAAGCTTTATCAAACTCAAATTTGGTCATATTTTTTAATACAGTAATCAATATTTCTAAGGCATTGAAAACGAAAATGGCTAATATAAAGCCTCAGTAATGCATATTGATACATATTATGTAGAGAATTTGTGCCCCTCACGCTTAAGGGTACTTACCACAAACAAAAAATGGATTCGCGGGTTGATATATATTTTTTGACTGATTTTGATTTTTATTTATATAAATAATAAATCCCTGAAATATAAAGAAATCGTAGGTTTTCCTTGGTGTTTAGATTTGAGATTTTATTTTGTTGCACAATTTTTTAACTGTATGACAAAATCTTAAAAAATTCTTCCACTCTACTTGGTAAACATTATTCAGGTTGCCAATTTAAATGTAAATCTATGAGAAATACTGCTGATTTCTGAAAAAAAAGTTTGTTTGTGTTATTTATCCTTAAGGAAAATATGCACAGATCCTTTTTGGTGGGGAATAGGTTACTCGGGTATAAGACAGGACACTTTAGGAGAGACCATGGGGGTTATTTATAAGCATAAATTTTCATTGAGGAAGCTAAAATGTTCTGGAGATATCGTTAGGAAAGGAAAGTTAGGATAAATATCTTGAAGGTTTTTCTTATTCCATTTCAGGGGTCATGTTCTAAATTTCATTCAAAAAATTACAGTCATTTTGGATAAAATGCTTGAAAAACATTCTTAAATCAGACGAAGGTAACTAACCTAGCAAACACGGAACCTTGTTTCAACGTTGAAAGAAGGTGGAATATAGGTTGCAACGTTGAGTAACTATATTTCAACGTTGTTTTAAAGTTGTTTCAACATTGAGGTGTCAAAGTTGAATCATCAACCTTTTTTCAACGTTGAAACAACGTTGAAGCTGTATTTTGAAAGTTGAATGTTTGTCGATATTTCAACGTTGAAACAACGTTTAAGCTGAAACATATTTTCAATGTTGGATTTTCATATTTAATCGTTCAAATAACATTGAAGACTCAACATATATTCAACGTTGAGTATTTTCTGATATTTAAGAGTTGAAACAATCGCGGGTTTATTAAGGCAGCACATAGATCAGAATTCTGCGAATTAACACTTTTTTTATAATTATGTAGCACTAATAATTCGGAAAAAATCAAGGATAAAACTTTTGCTATCATTATGCATTCTATAGGCTTCAATGGGACTTATACTACAGGAAGCACTTCACCACGACGTCACCACTTGACGTCTATAATTAGAAAATATGCCTTAATGAAAAAGTGAAAAGTTTAACACTACCCCGGGGATAATGAATTTCAATTAGTAATAATAGTTATGTAAAAAGATCTCTGTACCATGGAAAGCTCTGCTAGAATCCTATTGTCTTATCACAGAAATAATTATTCAACACTTTTATACGAAACCTTCCCAAATTTTTTATATTTTGTTCATAACATTGAAAAAAAATGCATCAATTACCGTAAACCATACGATTCTAGCAGCACTTTCCAAAAACAATGGAATAAGAACTTTCGATAGAAACAAAAATTAAGTTTCAGAGTATGCGGCGTAGTGTTGAACTTTTGCATCTTTTTATTACGAACGACAGAGGATATGCTGATCGGCAAGTAAACACCCTGCCTGCTTTAATTTTTGCGAAGAAATTGTCGAAATATATTAGCATACTTGATTCATATGCTTTATTCCCACATGAATCACACATGATATCCATTCTAAATGCTTTTAAACTCCGATTTATTGTGTTTGTTCACATGAATTCTCGTAACGTTTTACTTTCACTCGGTGGACTTCCTCTTAAATTACATGAGGATTCCCATTCCAATTTCAATAGTCCTCGCCCACTGACGTCAAACACAACGGCAGCCGCATGAGATTTTCGGGATGATGGCAATATCAGGAACAGGCACATATTCTTTTATTCAAAGAAATGTACTCCTCTGAGAACGATGGAAAATATCTTATCATGTAGAATATTATTGAAATGATTATAAAATACTTATTTTAAAAAAAGCTAAATTATCATGATTTTTTATTTATGAAATTAGGTTAAAAAAATCACAATATTAAGTTTCTTTCACAAAAGTTAAATTGTACTTTTAAAATGAAAGGATTTTTAAAATGATATATTTTTAAAACTTAAACATGTTAAACATCTCGCAGTTTTTACAAGTTAAAAACAGAATTTACTTGAGATATGTAAATAGGTATATATAAACATTACTGTTATCTATGATATCGATATCCTGCTGTGTACGTCATAAACGCTTTTTGTGTATTTAAAGTGATAGTGGCCGCTATCTAATACCGTATTACGGCCCTGGCCGTAATGATTTATTTGCACTTTGTAGAACATATAATGTTTACTATGGTAGAGCAGCACGGGTTTATCTATGTTTAATTTGTACATTTCCCAATTGATCAGATACGATTGTTTAATATGGTGGTCCTTAAAAGAAATGTTTACATACATGTACATGTAGATAACGATTTACATAATAATGAAATATCATTGCTTGATTGTATTTTGTTAAACGATTTTTTTTCACTCAACAAAAACAGTGATCAATCTCTAAAGTCAAAAACAAATATGAATACTCTGTATAGTACTATAACATCAATCCATAAATGCTAAGTATAGCATTATAAAAAATATAACTGAGGATAATAACAAATTTGTAATATACTCAGCACTAATGAAGTAATGGTATAATACTATAATGAGCATTTAAAGAGTGATGTTAAAACCCTATACTGAGTATTTTTAGACATGTTTTAATGCTATACTGAGCAATAATAGCGTGGTGCTATAATGCTATTGGGAGCATTTATAAAGTGATGTTATAATATTATTCTGAACATGTATACAGTGATGCTTTACTGAACATCAACAACAAGGGAGTTAAAACAGTTATACATAAATGCTTTTCTGAACATCAGAAGGACAACTTACGATAAGGAAACCCATGATTTGTAACGAGTACATATGTGTAAACAAGTATGATTATATAAATGAATTGCTCTGTTGCACTGGTAGCCTGTATTTAAAAAGGAAACCAAATGTCACATTTGTAATTTTAGACCTGCTCTAAGTATGTAAACGTACAAACATTATTTGTTATAATGTAAATACAATTGACAGGAAAGAACATTATATAAACTTTTCCAATTTATGCTCTGTTGCACTGCTTCAGATTCTTCATAGGGTTTTGTCGAGCCTGTATCCAATAACAGGAGCTTGCCAAAAGCCATCTGTAAACCAAATGTCATAAGAATGATTCTCTCCAAAAAACTGATTTACTTTTAGGCCACATGTACGAAGGTCCCCTTTCTCACAAAAAGTTGTTTTTTGTCCCCCGCTTGAAAAGTGGGGGATATTAACATTATCCGTCCGTGTTCTTTCTGTCTGTCTGTAATGACCACACGAAAATAGCTTTCGCAATGAAATTTTGCTAGCAACTCCCTAATTGACATTGATTTTGAGGTCAAAAGGTCAAAGATCAAGGTCATAAATTCGCAAATCCTGTCTGTTTTAACACTTTCGTTTCCACACGATATCTCGAGAGCCCTTTGAGCTTTTGCAATGAAATTTCACTAACAACTTCCTGTGGCCTAAGGAAGACCCCTATTGATTTTGAGGTCAAAAGGTCAAAGTTCAAGGTCGTAAATATATACATTCTGTCTCTGTGTAACACTATCCTTTCCGGGCGATATTTCAAGAAGATTTTGAGCTTTTGCAGTGGAATTTTATACCAAAAGTCCCTAAGACCTCTCTCACCCCTCTCAAAGTGTCCCGCCCCGTTTGTTTTATAAGTATATATTGTATTACATGTCGCTATTTTTAGCACAGGGACATGAGAGAGTTTTCACGAATAAAACCCTTACAGGGTGTGTTTAATAAAGGTTAAATTAAACATGCACCATGCATTGTGTTAAATTTTGAAAATATCTGTTATATGCCTCCATATACCAGTTTAAATAGTAAATAGTTATTCCGTGGCGTAGTGAGTCTCTCGCTTCACATAATTTCCACTCCGGGACGATGTATCATTTTTTTTTTTTCTGAAATATTTTTTTTTTACTAAATGATAGTACTCAGCATGTGAAGTGAAAAATTTACAAGGTGTGGCTTCTACAAACTCGTAGAATCACTCACAGACCAATAATTCTATTTTAGGCCAAATCTTTATATCCATATTGTATTTTATTTGCTTCAGTATACATGTATACATTTAATAATTTTTCAACTTAAGTCAGGGGGATCCGACCCCCCCCCCCCTCCCGAACTGCGCACGGTTTACTTTTTCCCTAAGCGGGGGACACAAATTCTCTGAATTAGCTTGTTTTATTTCCGCCGAACTTCCAGGCTAACAAAAATGGCGCCTCAACAAAAAGATTTTGACTTGCTAAAATCCGTAAAAGGACGATAACTCTTCAAAATTTCGCAATGAACGGTTGTATAATAATTGCCTCTGCGATAAAGGCGCAGATCTGAAAGACTGGGCTTGGATATGAGGAATTATCCGACAGTGTAAAGTTTAACAGATATCTCATAGCGGCATAAATTGAATAATCTGTGATAATTTTGTTTTATTTCTTGCAGCTTGAAATTAAAACCATCGCAATTCATACTTAATTAGAAATCGTGGAATTTTAACAACGTTGAATTTAATCAACCTTGCATCATTTCGTAAATTGTAGATGTCAAACTAACTCCATTTCATCTAAGTCATTATTAACCTATAAGATAACCTTTCAGGACTGCTTAAAGATGTTAATAGTGTATTTGTCTTGTTAAATTATTTACACATAGCTATTTATGTATATTCTTTATATATAAAACCATAAATATATGTCCTTTGGACATCGTTTAGCACACTTTGTATATAGCAAAAGACAACAAAATACTGCTTCAACAAAAATCTTTCTTTTATAAGCAAGCAAAACTTAATTTCCAGCAAAAAACATGGTTAAATTGAATTGAAAACAAAAAAATATAATTAATCATCAAACGCAAGAAAGAACAGTAAAGTTGTCTCACAAAGTTTCATTAAGGATATTAATTTGTTCCTTCATTCAACAAATTCCTGCGGAAATTACCAGATTTAGTTTTTACAAATAGCATTTTTCGATGACGCGTGAGTACCACTGAAACCTCTCGCACTCTCGACTATTCCTCTGACGAATTCTACCTGCGTCTCTACCGCCGCCTCTTCGTTACCACATATTGCCTCTACGGCAGATCGAGCTTGGGAGACGATTGGACATCGCTTGGAAAATTCCTCCTGTGTTCTCTGGGCTCCCTCAACATCGCCAGCAAGAGCTTGGCATAGGGACTTATACTGAGAAACTACTGGCACGGAGTTTTCGTTTCCCATTTTTTTTCTGAAAAGAATTAGAAAACACGTTTTTGAAGTCTTAGATTCTAATTAATGTAATAATTGAAAACATTTTTTGAGAGAAGAAATAAATATTTAATTGGACAAACACCACTGACTAAACATCACACTTATTATTAAAAAAAAAAACTTCTTACCTTCCCGTAATAATGAAGGGAATCTTCACGTTTAGTCGTGTTGACGATTCCTTTTGGTTTTCTTATACTGAAATTAAGTTATAATTTATATATGTTAAGTACTAATGAGTCCGTATGAGGAACTTACACTATTTATATCTATTAAGATAATTGTTTATCTTTTCCCGTTAAAACTTGAAATCGAAAATAGATTTTGGAAAACATCACGCCAACATTTCAGTAAACTTTCGGTTATCTTTAAGTTGCATATTTTTATTGAATAACTGGCTTATTTTTTTTTCACTTAGAATTTTTTTTTTCTGGTATCATAGCATTCAATTTATCTTTTTTAAGAAAAAAATATAAAGCAAGAAAAATGATTGCTGCAAGCAAGGATGGAACCTGGGGGTCTCCAGTTTGAAAGTCGTAATTAAACATCTTAAACATGTTTTAAACATCTTTTTTCGGTATGATGGCAAAATCAGAGATGGACATATGTTCTGATTTTAAAAAAAAAATGTTTACCTCGGAGAACGATCTTTTTTTTTTTTACTTTTTTCTGACTCCTTTTGCGATAATATTATTGAATTTGGTAGAGGGGCTGGGGATAGGTTGTAGAAGCTTGCGTTATGTGTAAGCTAGACCCTATGTGTACCTCAGAGTGGAGCAACATCAAATATCTACAAAGTGCATAGCCGATGTAACTTTTGTAATACTTTAACATGTACTTTCTGTTTTCGCTTAGCTAATCTAGCTAATCTGTATGAGCTTGGTCACAACGCTAAATTGGTGAAATTGTTGTGTCAGCCATATTAAATATATCACTAGAAAAGAAGTGATTTAATAATTTTACTGCGAATATTCTTTTTTAATTTGGGAATATATTAGAGGGTCTCTTCTCTTCTCTGATTTTAAAAAGATAGCTGTATGAGAGCCACAAAGATACTCTTGCACCCCCTCTTCAAAAGTGGAGATCTAACTGTTGATGTCTTTCCATTTAACTTTTTTTTCAAAAATTATTGAATTTGTTTCAGCCTATCATCGTGCACGTTTGCAAATATGTGGTAAATAAGTTTTCACTGAATCCATATATCTTCGCAAGTGAAGGATTTTCGGTCCCAAGTGAAGTAAAGGTTTTATAAATGATGGAATATACATTTGGTATGTGGATAAGTCGATTAAATATATGACAGTATGCAAAGTCATATCACCACAAGTGTAGAACCCTTACGCTTTGGTACTTATTTGTGGAGATTATCGCGTGTTAACGGATTGATAAAACCATATATTGAAGATGAATAAAATCAAATATGCATTTCTTTTTTTTTCGATAATTTTCAAAACGTAACACATTTTGACTTCAATTGTAAAATTTTACTAAAGTACATCAATATTATAGAAACACACATGATGAGGAATAAAACATCAGACAAAACAGTGACCTAGATAATGCAGCAAATGATTATTTAAAGACACACCTCCTACAATGTACAGGAAGAAGGAAGTAGGGAAGAAGGAAAAAGAGAAATTTTGTGAGCCATATATAGAACTTAAAAAAAAGAAATAAATGAAAAAAAAAAAACCAAGGACCTCCTTCCTGATTTACAGTGTATAGTTACCATTTTTTGGTTCATAATGAGTAAATGTCCTTATAGTATAATCCTTGTAGCATTTTGAAGATGTCTTCATCTAAAAGTAACCCACAGAATAAATAACCAAACTCGGAATATTTTCAAATTTATTACAGTATGGATTTTACATTTCAGTGCATGTGATATTAAGATTTTGTAAATATATAGGTAGAACTCTGAACATATTTCGTGGTGAAAATATGCATTTCAGGATTAAATAAATCATATAACACAGAACTAAATTAAAACTTTACTTTTTTCACCAAAGGCGGACAACTCTTCGAACACGATTAAAGCTCGAATGGACAGGTGTATTATATATTATATACAATCATCTTTCAATAAATTCAACACTAAAAAAATCCATTTCTTATACATTTGACTCTACAAAATCCCTGGCAAGCGCAGGGAATAAAATTTTCACATTACCGACAGGAGAATTCCAATGATTTACACATTGCAGTTTCTACTAATAATTAAATACAACCAACAGGGTAATAGCAAGAGGAATTACTCAGTTCATAATCATGCAGTAAGTTTTAAAGCAGAAATAGGCCCCTTCATAAAAACTTTTTAAAATAATAATTTCAAGAATAAATCGATGTTTACTTTAAAACATGTTATATGTATACTAATTTAAGTAGATCGTACTTCGATTGCTCTTTATCAATTTTCGTCAATTATAAAAGCGGCAGATATGTGCATTTTACTGCTGATCACATGTAACTTATTATTAAATTCCCTTTAAACGCTCTCTGAATAGGCCTATAATGTTTGAAATAAAAGACTGAATTTAGAACAAAAACATTGAAGCACATTGATTAATCAATTAACCTTAAAGATCTTTGATATGTTTGAACAAAATTATATACGTTAATTTCCTCTTTACATATGAGTAAGTGTATTTATAAAAAAAAAGTACAGTACATTTGTATTTCTGGTACATTTTGTACTTCGGTTTCGTTGCTTCAATGGTCTCAGTGAGAAATATACACATTTTAGTTATGCAGTTATGTGGAAAACAGACTTGTCTCTTGAAATATATAAATAGGTATATACATGTATATATAACTATTACTGTTATCTCTGATATGGATAACCCCTGTCTACGTCAGTAACTTAGCAATGTATTTAGAGTGATAGTGGTCGTTATCTAATACCATGCTTTCGCCCTTTTCGTAGTGATTCATTGCACTTCACATAACATATAACAATAAATAAGTTGAAGCAGCATCATATTCCACACTTGATCAGATACCATTGTTTAATATGACGGAGCTTAAGTTTTATAAACCCTCTGTTTAGTCATAAAAAAAAATTCTTTAATTCTTATAATTTTCCACCGGAAAGATGAATGCTAAGAAAATGTCA